AAATTATTTGTTAAAATTACCTATGGTTTTGAACCAAACTTGATCTGCTTGGGCTCGATGTTGGAAAGGATAAGGCACTCACGGATCAGCTGCTAGCGGCGTAGAGAGCTGGGCTTGGGGAACTCGGCGTAAGCCCTCTCCAGAGGCTCCACTTGCTTCATGGTGTACCGCACATATTTTCAGCGGCATTAACAGACCACCAACATTTTCGTTTTTGTACCATACATGTGCAAGTTACTGGAGACGCCCGTTCTCAGCAGGAACTCCGACACCTCCGCTGCTGAGGACGGAACTACATTTTCCACTGTGGTGCAAGAGTCGTGCTTCAGGTGGTTGTCCTTTGTGCAAGAAGATATGGTACCTCCTGCAGTTGCATGCACGGGCATGCAAAGAAACAGAGTGCACTGCACTTCATTCCAGGTGTGTTATAGTTAAAGTTTCAACAGATAGCTTTGTGTCAAATCAGTTTCTAGTTCGATGAAAAATGTAACATAAAGTAACAGAGAAATCTGAAGGCAAAAAGGGTAAGGAAAAGTTACAAACCTGAAACATTTTCCCGAAAAACAGCATATTTGTCCAACCCATTTGCACACAAATCAAGTCGATGCCTAAATCGCCGATTGGTTCTACCGATAAAACCAGACCGCCACAAATGAGATTTCCGAATTTTAAATAAAACAACAGATACAGTTCAAACATCCACATGAATCAATAATAAATACAAAAGAAGCGCAAGGATTGAAGACCCATAACAGGAAAATTTATGGTATCACATAAATATTATGCAGTCTGAAAATGATGCTATTATGTGTAAGAAAAAATTACCTCTGATCTGGAATGTACATAACTATTGGTTGACAGCATAACTTTGAGAGTGCCTAATATTATAAGTTCACCAGCGCATTTGATACAAATAAAAGATCCAATGTCACGGACCTGTAAACAATTCATCTACAAATTCCAACAGCTAGAGAAAAACCCAGGAAATCAAATTTAAAATTTCTGTTGGTCGGTATCGAGACGATACACCACTATACCCAATCTGTATATATTGAAGAAAGTTGTATGCGTTACGATTTACACCCACTTGGGATCTGGTGATCCACAATCAACACAAAACTTATTCCCAGCTTCATTTAATAGGCTTCCAGCCTCTCTCTTGGACCTTATTCAGAGAAGACAACAAGAAAAATTAAAAGTTGCAGTTGCTAACATCAAGCAAAAGTAAAATCACCAATCACTGCACACTATACACAAAAGAGATATAAGATTTGCTAACATCAAGCAAAAGTAAAATCACCAATCACTGCACACTATACACAAAAGAGATATAAGATTTTATAAATTTGTATACCCAGCCGCAGCCAACCTCTAATAACATAACATTACAAACAAACAAAAGAAATACATCATTTCCATCAGCGTGCTTAAACTAATCACTGCAAAGCCAAGGAAATTAGAAGGTGGGCCACCAATTGAATGCAACAGAACAAAAAGAAATCGTTAAATTTTGCATAAAACAACAGCATAAACACAATGAAGCAGCTCCGAACTGAATAAATTAATCAATAAAACCCTCATCGATTGACCGACGCGGAGGGCACGGAGCACCCACTGAGAACATTTCTCCCACATTCACACCGTCAGTGCGTGTCTGAGATCGGTTCCTTTTGCTTTATCATAACTAAAAATTCAATCTTTTTTTTTCTATTTTTGGCTAACTGGATTCGTAAAAGTTGAAACTTTTTTCATTTTGTTTGTTACCTTGTGTATGGAAAACAGGCTGAGACAAGTCAAAGCGGCGGAGGGGTGGATTTCACCACCCACCAGGGTTGTTGGGCAGGGCATTGTTCGGCGGGCAGAAGTTGGTTCCAGTCACCAGAATCGAACCGGGGAAGCACGACTTGCCGCAGCTCAGCCCGTTATTGAAGAGGGTTGTGCTCAGCGCCGCCGTGTTTATACCGTAACCTTGGCTGTACAAATTGTCGTTCCCGCACGCGTCGTCTATCCAAGAATCCACAGGAAATTAACATAGTGATCAGTGACAAGGCAAAATACAACCTTCAAGATGTTTGTAGAAAACAAACCATGGAGGCGATGAATGAGTAGTACGTCGGGTCTCCTTCTCTCTATGTCGCCGGCTCGCCGCCCCATCGGGTCTCCCTCTCTCTATATCCGGCTCGCCACGCAGATCTCACTGCCTTTTCGCCGTCGCAGGTGCTCCTTGTACTGGCCGACCTTCGTCCGTAACCTTGTCCCCACCGCATTCTTTGGCTTTCCATTTTTTATTTATTTATTTATTTATTTTTTTATCTGAGGAGATGATTTTTGGAGAAGATAGATGATTTTTGGAGAAGATTTTTGAGATCTGAATAGACATTGTACTGGACGGTCAAAGCAGAAAATGGGGGATTTGTAGAGACTTAACCGGGAAGATAAGGGATCACCTTAGGGGTAACAGTGTAAAAGAGGCCAATTGCAGAGGTATTTTGGTCCGCAAAAAATGACACATGTCAAGCCTCAAATTCCTTACATTTTACGTATATGTAAGGGAGAGATGTTATACAACTACACTATTATAATACCCGTGTATTACACGGTGTGCTTGTTAAAAAATATTCTTAAATTTTAAAATTAATGAGAATACTATATTAAATTTAGTTTACTTTTTTTTAAAAAAATATTACTATATATTTTAGAATGATATGTGTTATTTATGACTACCTGTGTTATATTATATTAGTTTTTATAACTTATATCATATAACTACTTGAAATATAAATATATTTGTTGATAAATAATTTTATTTTTCTAATTAATATTAAAAAATGTTATTATTGTTATAAAGATAAATACTACCTTCTATTTTTAATATATGTCGTTTTGAGAAGTTGTACATTAATTAAGAATAATTTTTTGACAATACTAACTTTATTTAATAAAAATAGCGATGAATGTTTTGAGAAAAATTGAAGAGTGAATATGAAAAGACGTAATGTATATATTAACTAAATGAGGTAGTAATGGAAAAATATGGACAAAAGATCCAAAATGACATTTATTTAGTAAATAGTTGATAAAGTTAGAATGACATTTAAAAAAAATAGGAGGGAGTATAAATTATTTTTTTATACATACAATATGGATGTTAAATCGAAGCTCATCAAAAAAAGATTAATTTGATATATTACATATATAAAATTGATAAAAAATACAAAAGTTATTAACTTTTAAAATATATATACAATTCAATAGTTATAATAAGGAATGATATTAAAATGCAATTAATACATGTAACATGACCATAAATAATCAACATATTTATGGTAATCCGAACCTCATTATTTTTAGTTTGGAATTAAATTAAAATTTACCCAAGCCTAATAACGAAACATGTAATTTTGCCACATAGGATTCCGAAGCACCAGAAGAAGCACGTAGGCTCGGCGTGTTCTGGATTAATATATACTTTCATACTGAAATTTCATACTTTAATAAAATATATATTTATATATATATATATAAATACTTTCATACTGAAATTTCATACTTTAATAAAATATATATTAAAATATATAATAATAAATTTCAATTATTGTCATATGACAATATAAAATAGTAAAAATATAAAACTATAACATTAGGCATAGTTTTCGTAACGGGATCGTAAAATCTCCTCTTATTAGCATAAATTATACTACTTCCTATTTTTAATATATGTCGTTTTGAAAGTTACGTAAGAATATTTTTTTGTCAATAATAACTTTATTTAATGAAGATAGAAATGAATGGTTTGAGAAAAAATGAAGAGTGAATATGAAAAGATGTAATGTATTTATTGGCTAAATAAGGGTAATAATGGAAAAATATGTACAAAAGATCCAAAACGACATTTATTTGACAAATAGTTCATAAAGCTAGAATGACATTTAAAAAAAATAGGAGGGAGTATTTTTCATTATCGTCATATGACCTCGAATTGTGTGGCATTATCATTGGCCACGTTAAACATTTAATAATTGATCAACTCATCAATGGTCGTCTCATTTATAGGTCAACTGACTACTTTAACTTAGGAGAATACGCGGCTGTAAGCCAAGACTGGAACGATGGGATGCCTACGATTATGAACACTTCAAAATGAAGATCTAATTGAGGGAGATAATTATTTAAAATAACACTCGTGTTTTATAGTGATCTATTAAAAATAATAATTTCCAATCACATATGTAAATATATGTATAAAATAAATATTGTCAATAACTCCACAATTTTTATTTTTAACTTTATAAATTATTTGTGGGTTTCAATGTATTATCACTATATTTTTCTAAGTAATTTAACATGTCATGATTTAAAATATAAATTAATGTGTATAATGAAATATTTTCTATTAAATATAACAATCATTTTCATTATTTAAAACAAATGATATCCGCTTGTAGCTTATTGCTTTCAACAATATTATAACATTAAATATATTCCTATAGCTCGAGGTCGCTTAAATCTCATTTTGTTAAAAATCAGGATCGTCAAGTTATCGCGGAAGTCGATAGCCAATGTGTGGTGAATATGATCATTGACAGTTTGACACTGAAAATAATTTTGGACCCATGAAGCTAGTAAAGGCCACTCGTTGCATGGCCCAAAGAAAATGAAGCATTACAATACAATATGTTCATAAATAAGCCAACTTTGCCGCAAACAATTAGGCCTTCTAAATATATATTGAGTAAATTACACCTCATACTAACACATTTAAATTATATTACACTTTTTTACCTTTTATATACTTATTTTTAAAATTACTTAAAAAAACTACAAATATTTTCATATATACCTAAAATTTAAATTTTAGTAACCTATCCTATAATTAAGGGAGAAAGATCACACGAGATTTTATTATGCTCCATCCTTTTCTCACTCATCATATCTCCAGCAACAACAACTCGTAGCTTTTCGAGAGAGAGAGAGAGAGAGAGAGAGAGAGAGAGAAAATTATGGTGAGTCAAAGGCAAAGATCGACAATAAAGCGGTTCAGAGAAGAGCAAACGGAGCTTGTCCCAAAGCCGGAGCCGCCGGCGCCGAAAGACCTGAACAAGAAGAAGAAGAACAAAAACAGCAAATTTAAGCGCAAGAAATCGGATCTGGGCAAGATTTATGGAACTTCGGGGCAAGATTTATGGATTTTGGGGGCTTTTAGATTTATGGATTTGGGCAAGATTTATTGGGAATTTCTGAAAGTAATCAAAATCCAATATAATTCACAAACAGCATGTAATTGGCCTAGTAACCAGATCAAACCTTAACCTGGCTTGCTCATTCTTGGTCTCATTGTGGTGCTTTGACGTTTGAATGCATGTAAGATGTTTGATAATAAGTCACAAAGACTTTTTTTTCCAATGAACGGTTATTTTAGCGATTTCTTTAATGGAGTGTATGTACAGTATATGTACAGAAAATCATGGCAGCTTTTTTGAGATTATTTTTTTTTATGTTTGATTAATTTTGGAGTATATGTACAATATATGTACAGTATGTGTTCATGACGACAATTATTCTCCATCTCTTAATGGGAGGTCGGAAGACGGAGAGACATACTGAAAATATACTGAAATCACATTTTATCTACTTTTATGTACAGTATATCTACGGTATATACACAATATATATTCACAGCAATATATGTTGCGTGTATAGACATGTAGTATATGTGGTGTGTATAGGGAGTATATATTTAGTATATTAGAAGATTTTTTTTTGTATAAAAAATATAAGTAACTTGTTATATTATTTTTCGTTGCAACATATACTAAATATATACTAACATATATATACACAAACATATACCACCTGACGGTTGCGTGAATTACAATATAAGTTTTAATTTGTCTTGATTAAAAAACGTACAAGCTGCTCCAATTAAGAAAACATTTGATTTTTTTTATGGAAACAACTGATTTTCATTCCATCTCAATGAAACAAAGTTTTTTTTTTTTTTTTTGTTACTTGATGTAAATGATGGAAATCATGAGGACATAAAATTGATGGAGTCCACTTTTTAGGTAACAGAATTTTAGACATAAATATAATTAAATCTTGACAATTAGGTAGAGCCACAATTACTTTTTAATGGATCGTAAATTTGTGAAAATTTTAATTTTATGTTGATTAAGTGAAAATTTGCCATATATATAGAGTGGCGGCCCAATGTAAATGTGGATAAACTTACTGGGCTTAGGACTAACCCATGAAAGGTGGAAACATGATATTCAAAATAAACGATGATACTCTACAATTTTTACATCATAATTTTAAAACTCGGTTCGATCCGGACTGGACTCGGGGTCTTGGGTCTTCGGATGATCAGGCCAACTGCCTGATCAATTATTGATATTTATTATTTTATATTATATTTATATTATTTTTATCTCAAAATTATACATAAAATAACAAGAACAAATTATTTACGTGTAAATTCGTACCCAAAAGTATTATATCCTTCCAAATAGATTGTTTACATAAGGAGGTCTACTTATAATTAAACCAAAAATGTCCTTTTCTATTCCCATTTTACTCCAAGTAGCGGTTTTAGTTTTTATTTTATTTTATTTATTATTATTTTTTATTCTTATCTCTCTCTTAAAGGAACGTGTCAAACCTATCTTCTTGGTTCCTTCTTACCAATTTCATTCTTTTTTATCTCCATCATAAATCAAATTCAATTCTCCAATTCTGGAAAATGAATTCCAAACAAATTCAAACAATTCTATCCCCGAAAATTCAAATAGATGGCGATTGATGGACTATTCCATCCCCAACACCTTCCTCGTCTTCAACGTCTTCGGGTGTACCATTAAAAGAGTGTTCCGAAATAGAAGAAGATGAATCTATCGCAAGTTCTGGTGAAATCCAATGATGGCAAGATGAATTTATCGCAAGTTCCGGCGAAATCCAATGACGGTACACTGTCCCAGATCTGTGGTTTTTTTTTTTAATTTTACTTTTATGTTTTGTTAAAAAATATAAGGAGATTGAAGTGTTCGGAAACATTTTTTAATTATGGAGAAAGTGATTTAGTGATACTGAATAAATAGAAATTTTGAGTTTTTGTGAAAACTGGACCCGAAATAAACATCTATGTTGTTTTTACGTTGTTTTTACGTTGATTTGTAGGTGTTATTGTATTTTTTTATTGTTGTTGTACAAAAACTCTTCTTTTTAATTTTGTTATTTTTACATCTGGTATAAGTTTAAGTGATCTAACGTCTAGTACTTTTTGAAATATATTTTGTATGTACAATTTCTCAATTAATTTTTTTGATTCTTAAGAATGGAGAAGAAGAAGAAGAATCATATGGAGAAGAAGAAGAAAAGAAGAAAGGGAGAAGAAAAAAAAGAGTAAAGAGAAATAACGTGGGAGAGAAAGAAGAGAGAAATAAAAAGAAGACAGAGAAAGAAAATATATAAATATGTTTTAATTGAGTGATTTTTATTATTTATATTTTTTTAGTTAATTTGTAACTGTTTTGAATCCAAAATGAATCAGTTACCAAATCTTGTATGGTTGTTTATGTCTATTGTTTGGAGTAAATTGGGAACTGTGAATAGGTAAAGGCTGTTTTGTAAAATCCTTGTTAAAAAGAGGTAGTTATAAATTTTTCCCCAAGAAGTTTCAAAAAGCTCTTTAGGTTTGGGACTCTTAGCCTTACCTTATTCCTCTGAAACTGAGATTTTTTTTTTCTTTTATTATTATTTTTTTTTTTTTTTGGGTTTCAAGCTAATTTATGAGAATAATTACGAAAGAATTATGCTACTTAGCCAACCTCCATTACAACTTGGTTTACAACCAAGTGTAATGGAGGCATTAAAAAAGCATTTTTAAACCAAGTTGTAATTGAGATGGTCAATGTAGCATAACCCATTACGAAAACATCAATATCAAACAGTTCCCTCAAATCCCACAAAGCCACTAGGCCGAGAAAGAGACTTTCTCTTTTCATTAAAGGAGGCGTCAGTGAAACGGAGCATCTGATATATTTTACGGCCCGTTGTGGAAACCGGATTCTGCTATATCTGAACTGAGGATGGCACTCGATTTTTTTTTCTTTCATAGCTTTTGCTGGAAACAAAGACAGACTTCAAACAGACTTATGCGGATCTTATTGAAAAGACAAGCAGGGTCGATGTAATTGAGCTCGCAAGGGACTGAGAGAGCGAGCTCGAATCTAAAGACGAAAAAAAACTCACATACTAATGCTACAGGCTGATACTATTGGTGGCGCTCCCCTGAGGTCTCACTATCCATAAAAGGATTTTCGACCCGGACGTTTTCGGGATGCCGCTAATAGCCTACCTTTTTTTGTATATCCTAGCTGCGCATGTCGGTTCCTCAGAGGACACGGAATTTCTTGTGAGATTTTTGGAACACCTCTAACAGAGAAACAAAAGATTTTTGGATCGGTTGACCTCATCTGATTTGCTTTGATCTGCTTTTCGCCCAGTCATACTAATGCTTTTTTTTTTTTTTTTTTTTTTTTTTTTTTTTTTTTTTTTTATTTCCTTATGAAAAACCCAATTGAGGTTACATTAGTAACGTCTCTCCTACCCACGTGTACACATGTTAATATGCTCACTTATGTGGTATGCACGCATTGGTGATGTAATTTTTTGAACATATTACCATCACTAATATGTGCATGCCATATAAGCGGTGGACATATTAACATGTGTCCACCGTGGGTAAGAGAGCATTACTGTTTATCAGTAAATAAATATCAATGCCATCAGAAATATTATATGGAGCCAATCGAATAACTTTATTTATACTAGTACGGTACCCGTGCGATGCACGAGAGTATTTATTACCTAATTGCTTTTTAAAAGGTATTTTTGCATTTAAATTGTCTCATGAGGTTAATTAAAAATATCATGAAAATAAAATTTATATGTTACTAAACATTTTCTTATGTGCAATATTATTGGTTTGATTCTTTGGCACGTAAAGTACTACACATGTGTTCAAATTTTATCTAAAACTGCATATTATTTGCTATTAGTAAAAAAAAATTAAAAAAATTAAAAGATCTTATTTATTAAACAAAATTATAGTAGGAAAAAAAAGTAATAAGTTTTAGGGACATTCACCCATTAGTAATTTAAATCTAATTTTAAATATCAATTAATAAAAAAAAAATCATTACTTACTCCTGAAAATGGATTTTCCTACCAATAAAACGATTTTATCAAACAAATTTATCCAACTCTTTAGTTGGCTTGGCGCTTTTCGTCGGCTACCACAGCGATTCATTTGCGTTGCCCGCGGCAGAGTTTCCGGAGCTCAAACCCAATTCCATTTACTTCGCTAATGCGCTAGATGAAGTCATGTGTCCGTGTACACCACCAATTGGTGGCCATGACATCGGCATTTTCAATTATGAAAACAAGACTGTATTGCCGTGCTATTATCCATCTGATGTCAAGAACATGCCGCAAGATTTTCCCAGGGCCTACTTGGTTCTTCCCAAGTCCTGCATGATTTGATCTTATGGTTTCTACTCTCTGTTTTTTTTGTTTAGTAATTTACTGATTAATTGCTCTTTTTTTTCTTTTTTCTTTTTGTGTTAATAAACCAGCTTACAAAGTATTTGATATGAAGAGATAGTAGAGCATCAAATGATGATAAATAGAATCCCAAAATATTGAAAATTTATTCATATTATTCATATTTTAATGTATTCGTATCTAAAATTTATTTATTTCATTTATTACACATATTTGACATGTTTTGATGAATAATATATTATTTATTTATCTTGAATTTTTTTATTTTTTTATTTTCTGAATTTAGAATAATAAAACATATTGACAAGTATAATAACTAAGAATAAGACATAAAAATTGGAAAAAAAAATGTTATATATATATACACACATATATAATATATATATTCACACACCAAAGGAGCATATAAAAAAATAGCTACGTAGCTAAAAAAAATATTTCATTTATTATGTATAAAAAAACTTCATTTATTATGTATAAAAATAATTATAAAATATTTTTTAAAATTATTCGGGCAATCTATATATATATAAACAGAATTACCATTTTTTAAGAATGGTAAGTCAAAATTCCAGTCAAATTCGGACATAATAATTATTTACTATTAATGGAAATGTTTCTCTTTAGTTATTACATTAACATCCCTTAAATCATGGCTACATTAATTAATTGCATAAGATTACCAAAAAATGCGGCGTCCTTATTAATGTAAACAATTAATCACATTAATTAAAAACTGTTTTTTGTAATTCAAGGGATTTCGAATTTAACATCCCTTAAATAACGGCCATATTAATCGGACAACATTAAATTCTACACATAAATCGCGGACAACAATTTTAATTCTCCACATTTATTGCTTTTCGTATAAGAGCTGTTAAATTGAACAAAAAATCCATTTGAGTTGTGATAAGATATTTCTTTAGATAGGATACATCAACAAAATCTCCTATATCGATGGAATATATATTTACTCATCAAACAATTTTAATATTAAGAGATTGGGATCAACAAAATCTCCTAATGACCAGAGGATAATTGGCACGTTATTTCCCCTTAAGATCGATTTTACGATATGCTTTGGATTGTTCCTTTAATTCAAAAAAAAGTGATGTAGTATTGGATGTAGATTATCCCAAAAATTATTAAAAAATCTGAAAACCCCAAAAATAATCTTCCGAATACCGTCGCCAAAACAAAATTGCACGCATGTAGTATTGGATGTAGATTATCCAAAAAAACTTTTGTTGAGATATGTATGTATTTACTTAATCTTAAAACAAATTCAAAAAAAAAAAAAGGAAAAAAGTGAAGATGGGAGGGAATTGAGAGAAGAAGCGGTGGGTGGAGCCGATGATTCTCGACGAGAGAAATGACAAACCCTACAATTTCGGGATTTTTAGACTTTTATACTACCTCCAATTCAAAATAAATGTCGTTCTGATTTTTTTGATTCATCCATTTTGCTATGTCTAGATACATAGCAAAATGGATGAATCAAAAAAATCAGAACGATATTTATTTTGAATTGGAGGGAGTATAAGACTTCTGTTAATTGTGGCCGCTAGATTTACATTGACTAATATTAGTTGTTCAATCAGTACATAAAACATATACATTGGGCCCAATTTATTTTAATAGTAATCAGCCCAGATTTTGTGAAGATGTGGATTTTTGATAAGCCCACTTCACACCAATGTTATTGGCTGACCTTACTTATGTATTTAAATATACTATTAAATAAATCAAATCAACCTAAATCAAAGGCCCATGTAAATATGTAATATTTTTTGTTAAATCAACCCAAATATATTATACATCATTAATATTACAACCAATAAATTATATTATGTTATTTGGTATATAAATTTAATATTTGACATGTGTAAATCAAAGGCCCGTGAGTTAACACATATTTTTTTTTAATTTATAAAAATAAATTATTATATCATGCGTAATATATTAAATTAATTAATATCAAATAAATATAAATAATATGTATATTGTATGTCTTTATAAGATAAATTGACTATGTTCTTTTAAATCATATGCACATTTGTATATGATTTATATTCCAGATATATATGTTTATAAATATTCCAGATATATATGTTTATTTGATTCAATTAATATGTATATTCACATAAATTTTATTTTACTGCTTTTTTTTTTCCAGAAAAGAGAATGTATCATCGTCCTATATTGATTTACCCATTTCACAAAAATCATCATTATTGTCACACAATATTTTTAAATATTAAATTAAAATTTATACTACAAAACTTTATGTTTGCTAATTAAAAATCGCTATTTTTTTATTAATGTTCGGATATTATTTTATTAAAAATAATCAGATTAACACTTGAATTGCAATTCAATATGAATTGTATGATTTGTTACAAAACTCTAAAACTCTAATTGCATATGAAACTTTCTAATATATAGAATTTGTTACTTTGTATTTCAAAAATCTCAAATTAACAATTGACTGAAACCCTAATCATTTTTAATAACTCATTTATGAACTGAGTTCCACTTTCTGGTATCCAATATATCAATATTTTTAAATTTAAAATAGCTAATATAAAGAATTTGGTTCAATTTACAATTCAAATATATCTACATATATATAGATTCAACTCATAACAAAGTTCTTAACAATTGACTAAAAATATGATTCTTGGTACTCAATTTTGAATTGAATTCAAATTTTAAAAATCTAAGAAATCGGCAATTATTTCTAAAAGTTAGATAATCAAAGCAAGAGAAGGATTGTCTTAATCAAAAAAGATAAACATGCTCCATACAAAATATTAATTAGATAAACATGAATCAATTTATTTTAAAAACATTACAATCTTATTTTGTCTTAATCAATTAATTAGATAAACCAATATTGTGTCGAACCTGAAACATTACAAATAATATTTAAAAAAAATATATAGAAATTATTAATGAAAAGTATACGTTTATTTACAATCTTATTTTGATTTATTTGGTGGTCAACTTAATAATTTTTGTATGTAATTTTTATTTTATTTGGAGAAAATTGTGAAATATGGATTATGAAAAAGGAAGAGGGGAGAGAAATTAGAGGGAATCATTAAATTATGTTTCAATCTCTAAATTATCAACTCACTATTAAGGAAGTTATATGATTCAAACTAAAAATATACGTTATTAGTATAGCTGAGAATGTAAAATAACTGTCTACATAGAATAGGAATGAAAGAGTTAAAGTAGGAATAAAATATAATTTATAATACAGTTGAAAATTAGAAAAGTAGTCCAAGCGTGGGGGAAATTTTTTCGACGACAACAATCAGAATCCGCAGCCCAGGAGAGAAGCCCAGCAAGGGAGCCCAGTTGAGTGGGGCCCAGTTTCCGAAGCCCTTTGTACAGCCTGCGTCCGGCCCGACCCTGCCCGTGCTCCTCACAACGAGTTACCCAACAATCAAACCCATAATGTTGTGTACAAAGAGATTTTTAAAAATATAAATTTTTTTCGTGACGAACATTTTATGATGAATAATGTTCGTATGTATTAAACTCTCATATATCTGATGCATGTCAAATTATAGTATTATCTAAATTTATGTATTCGTGCATCGCACGGGATACGCACTAGTCATTTTCAAACGCAAGTTTTGTGAAGGTTGATGTGGGCTTGACGCGTGGCGGTTTTTTAGGTTTTACATATTTTTTTTTATGTTTTTGTACGAAGCGGCGTCGTATCGATCTATTTAGTTTTCTAAACAGATTTTTCTTTTTCCTTTTTGTTTGTGTTTAGAGATGTTAAACGGTCCTTGGCCCGACGCCGGCCTGTTTAGCCTGAAAAAAAACAGGGTTAGGGCCTTTTTTTAGTAGCCCGTTTAAATCAGACTTTTTAGGCCCAGACCGTTTAAAGCGAAGTCCGATAGGGCTAGCTCGACGCCCGCTAGGGCTAGCCCGTTTAATTTGTATATTAAAACTTCACTATTCTACTTTATATGTAACTATGAGCTGTAACGGGTTATTATGATTTTGAAAGATAATTAATAACTATTTTGTTATTCTACTTCACACCAAATTATTTAAGTCAATTAGAACGGCTAATGAAAAATACATGAGACAAAGACCTAACACATAAAATATATTGATAGAATATAAATTCAACAGTAAGATACAATATCGTGAAAATTTCCAAAGCGTACAAAAATAAGTAGTAAAATGGTAATTATAGGTAATAGTTCGAACATTTTTTTTTCTTTTGGTAAAAACATGTCACTTAAGAGTTTGTAATGAGTGTTTATACATGAAATGTAGTTGTATATATATAGAGCGGTAAATACTAAATAGACGTTGAAACAATCATGAATCAGCCGTTGTAATTTTTATTTATATGTTTATTTATATATTATTATTATTATAGCCCGTTTAGCCCGTTTAGCCCGAAGTCCGCTAGGGTTAGGGTTAGGTCCTTTTATTGGTAGCCTATTTAAATCCGGGCTTTTTAGGCCCGGACCGTTTACCCCGAAGCCCGTTAGGGCTAACACGAAACCGCCAGGGCTAGCCCGTTTAACATCTCTATTTGTGTGGCGTTGCGTCGTTTCGGCAGGCTTTCTTTTCTTTCACTTTCTGCCAAAAAGTGACGAAAAAAAAAAATCGTCAGCATATGTTGTCTTATGGTGACGAATTTAAAAAATCGTCATTACATCATTGCATACGGCGACGACTACTACATTCGTCATCTTAGAATTTATTTTTCGTCACATAATGGTATTTTTCACGACACTGCACCAAAATTCGTCACCTATACATCTAAATTTGTCACATGTATATAAAATGTGAGGAAATTAAATGTGACAAACAAAATGTTGTCACTATTGTTGTTATTTAAAATGACGCTTACGACTAATTCGTCATTATATAATTACTTATTGTGACGATACGTTATAATACAACTAAATTCGTCACACTCATAGATATTATGCCGAAAT